CGGAATGGACATTTTGACCATATGACATTGACATGAGTTTTGACATTATAATAATAGTCAACCTGATATTTAAAATTTTTTCCGAATTTAATTGAAATACAATGTTTATTCCGGACAGAATCAATAAAATCATTTTTCTGTATTCTTTTTCTCATTACTTATCCGTAATAGTTTTCCGTAAGTGAAAACGGGACTTTACACTTTTCTCATTTCTTCCTCAATGTTGGGTTGGGTTGGGTGGGGATACGCTCATTCTCATATCTTGGTATTCAAAGTAAAGTTGAAATGAGTGACTATGTCGTGCTTTCGTCATGAAATTATCATATATTCTCTGATAGGTGCACTCATATTAGTCACTCGTTCCAACTTTAAATACCAAATATGAGAACGACTTGCACTCGGGCGGATGTAGGTTTTTCAGGGCCTAGGGCTTATTGAAGTCCAATGGGGCCCCATTTTTTGTTAGATTAAGAATTGCCATTGCATTATCAGGCAGGCTGGCCATTATTATTAGTCTCTTTATAGCATTCGAATTCGAGACAGTGGATTTAAAATTTCAACTTGGTGACCTGACCAATTACGTTACATAGATTACAATAAAACAAATAATAATATAAATTATCACTATTATTATTATATTAATATTAACTATTTTTTTACTATACGATAAGTGCGCATTGATAATGAAAAAGTATTCAAAATTTATGATGATAATTTAACTTTTGTCAGCCCTTGGCACTTGAGGACCTAGGGCTTAAGCCCTATTAGTCCCTATATAGATCCGTCTGTGCACACCTGATACTTGGTATCCATAAAATTTGGCCACAATGTTACCTCACAATGTCCTGATTTCTGGTTTTGAACTTTTAACTTTACCCTGTATGTAAGTTTGGATTACTGTATTTTATAAAGTATACAGTGCTAAATGAACTTTTTATTTTATTTTACTTTTATAATCTGTATTAAACTAATTACAGTTCTGTACGTCACTTTTTTTCATAACACCTTAGTGGCCATCTCACTTATGTAGCCAGAAAATGTGTATCTCGAAGGTGGCCTCATAAGAGAGAATTACTGTAGGTTTATTTTGAAAGTCATCTCAAATAAATCAATATCAACATTGAGAATAAATTACATTTTCATTACTTTAAAATTAATTAATTATATTATTAAAAAACGCAGTATTAATCTTAAGTGGAACAAGATTTTCAGCCCAAATTACGGAATGTTTTTTACTCTTGACAACAAAAATAAATGCAAATAAAATTTAATGTTCTTTCATACTTTAATCGCTTGTTTTATTTGATTATATATCAATAAAACTTTCGACGTAAACAGAAAATTCAGAAAAATTTATTGAACTAACGCTTTGTTCTTCCCTATGAATTTCTTGCATTAATTAATTAACACTCAATTGCACTTACTGTACTTGTTAGGCCATTTACTTTATGCCTTGACCTTCTGACGTTCAATATACCATTTTAAATAGGAAAAGTTTATAACGCAGATTTTTTTATTTTAATGCTATTAATATTTGTATTCCTGATGTAAATTTTTATCGATACATAAGAATATACGGATAATCGAGAGTATGCTGTATATCAGAAAGTTAATAAAGTAGAGTCCTGATTAACTGAGATAGCTTTACTTGAATTTCCTGAAGATATCTTGGATAATCATAACACAGAAAATATTTGGTAAAGTATTAAATAAACTGGATTTGAAAGCATTAACTTATAGCTGTATTCTATTTTTAAATTACATTTACTTATTACATAATTATGAGTACTTTTAAATTATACAAAAACACTTTTAATTTCACTTACTTGCAAACCAATCATCTACTATTCTGTACAATTAAATGTAAACCAAATATATAATAAATTGTATATTTAAAAATTTAATTAAAGAGCATGAGTTATTGTTTTAAAATTTTCTAGAGCTCTTTTTCGGAATTGCTCATTGCTTAGCCAAAATTTATGAAAGAAACTACAGTATACTATACTGTGTTCATTTATCTTTGTTAACACAATACACCTTCACAACTCTTCTCAGTAATATGGAACTTAAGATACTTAAGACGGCATATTTAAATATTTCATGCACGAGTAAAAAGCATAAAATAACGTTAAACCAGCACTCAAGCAGTAATAACTTTTATCGTTGGACCAGAAAATCTCGCCTGTTATTTTGTGGCTCTTGGCCAATCATAGACAGCAATTGTCGGCAAAAGCCATGGAAAAACATGTCGTTACTTTTATATCTAGGACTACACATATAAAGTAAACATTGGATATACCAAAATAGCTCAGTATGCTTGATAACTGCCATTTTTAATCTTCTATCTTTTGTGTTTTTATAGAAACATTTTAATGTTAGGTCTTTTATTTCAGAGAAAAGGTGATTATAACTACAATTTTAATATATAGGAATAATCAATCTAAATTGAATTCGTTTTCAATTATTTAAACATATCAGTAGAGGAGCAAATGAATATGGTGTTCATCATTAGCAGGGCTGTGGAGTCGCGTAAAAATCCACCGACTCCGACTTTTCCTTGTCATCCGACTCCGACTCCGTTTCATATACATAACAAGTTGGTAAGTAAAAAGGGAGTCGGAGTCGGCGGATTTTTTGACGACTCCGACTCCGGCCAAAACACCAAAACTCCACGACTCCGACTCCACAGCGCTGATCATTAGAGAAGACTTGTTTACTTCTTCCATGCTAAATCACGACAAATTTTACAGGAAAACATCCATACCTCTACCATTAGTTTAGTCCCGAGAATAACCTTTTCTATAATGATTTTTATTTTTATTTATTATCATTTTAAATCAAAATTATATAACTTAACGTCAATAAAGATGCGAATACACGTCATTTTCATTTTCTGTCGTTCACTCTGAAAGATTTTTTTTTCCATATTGCTGAAAATTACTATATTGCATTTTATTATTATAGTTTATTAATTTATTATTAATGATTAGGTTTTATTTTTTAAACAGAGACTTATTTATATCTTTATTCGAAAAAATACATGCAAAAAATTGTCATAATATTTTTTAATGTACACGCTGAGAATTAACAAAAAATACCGCCTTGTTAATTACTTGTCGCTACTTCTTATATCTACAGTTTTACTTTTATCTTGCTTGCAGCGCCATTTCTTCACCTAATGGCAAAAAATAATACAAACTGATTTTTTTTTCTTGGCTGAATCTCTTCCGCATATTCTAGATAAATTACTTGTCAGTTTTTATAGCGAAATGTCTATCCTTCTCACTTCCAGAAAATCCAGAAAGGAAACTTATAAGTTATAACTACTTCGTACTTATTTACATCTTCATTTAATAGAGAATTCAAAATGAATCACATTTTTTTAAATAAACAAATAAGATTTGATCTTATATTCATCCGACACAAAAGAAATTCGAGTTTAATGTAAATAAAATACTATAATTACATCATTTGGACGCAATAAACCTGAAACCACGTTCAACATTCAAGTACATCGTTTTATTTTGAAATTTAATTATATTTTATTCTCAAAAATACAATCACTCTCCTTTTTTTTAATTTCACAAATGTCGATAATTCGAATATATAGTATTAAAATACGCTTTTATTGTATTTCAAATGTTTAATATGCCTTTTAAAATTATTTAGAAATAAAAATATAGAATATAATAATAAAGTTTTAGTAGTGAAGTCTTTATTTACAAGATGTAGTCTATGTACACTTTTTAAAAAGCTCCTTATACGTGTCAATATCTAAAGCCAGTATGTTTAACATAAGAAAGGACATTGACACACCAGTGTAGAAATGTGTGTCAATAACCGAAGTACCCACAATACGAAGATGACTATTGACACAGGCGTGTCAATAGCCATTGCCGCTTTCTTTAACGGCATGGTGGGTCTTACGTGACGAGTTCTGACCGATAACCTTTTCGGCGCTTCACAACAAAAAACTGCATTCATTGTTTGACTTTCTGACACAAATTCCCTAAAAATAATGTTTGTGACTTGACATACAAGGACTATTGTTTTGATTCTAATATTTTGTTGCGGTGAGTGGTACAGATACCAGTTTATAAAATGCTCTTTTCCTTTGCAACTAAAATATAAACTTGAAACTTGAGGGACATCGTGCCCTAAAGCGTGCCGCCGCCAGGCATTTGGAGAGACAGTGGGCCATGAAGCTCTGTCCGAACTTATGGCTTAAGATACATCATATTAAAATTATAAATATACTTAAGTTCTTTTATCTTATATCAGTATATAATTTCTGTATTAACTTATAGGCCTATGTCTTTTTGTCCTTTTGATTTATTGTCTGAGCAGAATATATAAATATAGGTTTGATTTTTAACGAAAAAGTTGAATTAGATTTTAAAAAAAATTGAATACAGTATGTTCATTACTGTTATCTATAATCATCATGTTACAATATCAATCACTGTCATGTTAACAGACTGATTGAAAAAACTGCTCTTATTATATCGAGTTTATAAACTGAGAATAATTCTAACAGTCGACTGAGATTTTTATTTTATTTTATTATAATATCACAGTATAAAACACAGACTAAATGATATTATATTTCAAAATTCTCTTGCTAAAAATATGTCCAAATAATTTAACTTTGATTTAAATATTTTATGAATTATCGAATTGATTAAAGTTAATTATAAACTTAGAGATATCACATACCTAGTTTTTGTTGTAGGTTATTTAAATGAATAAAATTATATAAACAGTTTTTATTAATATATAAGTTTATTTTTTTCTTTAATTGATATTTAAATATAATATTCTATTCAATTCTGTGTACTCAAAAACATAACTTACAATGCTGTAATGAAAATTGATAAGATTAATTTCTCGTGAAGTGCAGCTTTGTGAAAAACTGTATTTAAAAATAACTCTGAATAATGAAATAAGCTTATTTTTTATTCGTAAAAAAATGATAAAATGATAAATATTTACATGCTAAATTATGATGAATATAGATAATTAATAAAAACATCTTATTCCTTGTATATGTATACTGTATGACTATAATCGCCTTGCATTGACGGTTTATATTGTCCTTTATTGTTGTAAGATGCAAAATAATCTTTCTTATTGGAGCTACTTGCTGTTAAAGGAAGAAAAGTTTCAAAAACTCCTTTTTGACTATTCCATCGGCTATTTTGGAAATCTCCAAATGTTCTACGGCCATCATCGAAGGATCCTACAAATTTGTATCTCTGTCCTGGCATTCTTTGACCACGATTATTATAAGATTTATATTGGTTACTAGCTTGACTTTGCAGTTGTCCTTGTTTTTGATTTTCGCCATTCATACGTCCACGACTAACGAAACTTTGGTAATCGTGACTAGTAGGAACGACAAGTGGAATATTATCGCTGGAACTGGAGCCCATTATTTTTAATGCGCGATCGGCTCCACTTTTTTTGAAACTAAATCCTTCTTGCCAGCCTTTCATCCATCCATCAATCCATTCTTTGGTTGCTCCTGAAGCAATTGATTCTTTTAAAAGTTTTGTTGCCTCCGCATTAAAATTCATCGGTTGATCTAACTTTTTTGAGGAAACAATATTCGATAAACAGAGAAGTAATAGCCCGTAACATTGAATCGCCAACATCTAAAAATAAATTGTAAGTTAAGAAAAAAACAAAACAAGACCAAAAAGCTAACTCTATTTTTAAATTAAAATGAATTTTAATATAAAATTCTTAATAAGTTTGCAGAGTTATTTACAAGAGAAACTGGGAAAATATAATAAAACAAGATCTTTAAATTTAGAATATTAGACCAATATTTTATTGAAATTAACTTTAGTGTAAGAAAATAAATAATATTAATATTGTAGTTGGATGTCAAAAGATTGATTTAGTTGAATAATGATGAAAATTTAATCATTAATTCTATAAATTAATAAAATTTGAAATGATAAATACAGTACTTACTTTATACATACTGCAGATCCACGAATGTGTAGAATATTTTAAAATTAAATAAATGAATATTAAATAATACCAAGTACAGTACAATAAACTATATATCAAGTGATGAACACTTGGATCGTCTCCTGTATTTATATATCTCTCTGGAAATTTCGTTCCTTTTATATAGAGATTGTTTTGGATGACGTCACGGTCATGACCTTCAAAGTGTTTGTTCTAGTTCCACGATTTATTTGAACACGATTCCGTTCTAAATATTCAACATGGCATTCAAAATATTCTCATCTGATTTCGGCAGGTTATATGTACTGTAATTATTTTGTCAGAAACTTGAAAATTAAAAAAAAATTATAAGAAAAATAATATAAAGAAAGATGTCCAGTGTTGATATGTTTTCGAAGGTGACTTCCTGTAAAATCTTCCTTCTTTGTCAAAAATAGTAAAATAAAAAATAAAATAAAATCATAAAAGCAAACCACACCCAAAATATAAAGGTTCTTAGACTTTAACACACGAAAATTGATTTTAAAAATCAATATTGAGTAAATAAAATGAAAAAAAGTTTCGAAAATCGAATCTTTTTTACTGGGGGTTAACGCCTGATAATTTTAATTTAAAATTCTCATAAAAATACAAATTTATCTGTTTATTTTTACGCTTTCTTATTTCAAGGAAAGTATAAATATTCAGTTTTAACTAAAAATTTTATAGTTATTTATCTAGTATTTTCCTTAGAAAGTTAAATGTTTTCAAAATTATATTCAATACAAGCCAGGCATTAAAGTAAGTCGGTTCATTAAATAAATAGGTTGAAAGAATTTGAAGTTTATTGGTATATTGAATGCTTTTCCATTTTATAACTTTATATAGATTTATTATAAATCGCTGCAGAAATGATTAATTTGAAAAGATTAAGTAAATATGATAACATGTTTATGTAAAAGATATGTATCAAGAAAATCCAATAACCCAAAAGTTTAGAGACCAAACGGTGCTCCTTTTTTTCTTAATATTAAAATCTAGCTAAACAGAAATTGAGTATATATATTTAAAAAAAAAAAAAAAAATACATAAATCATTAAGGCAAGGACCTATTATCCCGAAGCAATTTTCTGACGTTGAAAAAGTAGTTAATTATGCTAGAAAACTAGCACGAAACATTATAGTATTTATTAATATTTAATAAAAATTAATTATTCGCAGAATGATATTTTTATAATGATTTATAACTGTATATGAATAATCAGTTTTACTGACCTAGGCATAATTTAAAATTCCTTGCCTTGATCATACGTTTTCCTCTTGAAACATCGAAAAGGAACGATTGTGCGTAAATAGTAGGCTACTATAAGGCCATCGATCTAAGATTTGTGGACTAGATTAAAAAAAGAATGATTGTTTTAAAATTATTATTCAAAAAATATTTTTTTATAGTTGTTTAGAAATAAAATCAGGACATTAGGGAGAAGAGTACCCTCGTTTCTAACCTTATATTAGCATTCTAACACCCAATAAGTCTTTGAATTATTTGCAAATTTTTTATTACATATATTTTTAAAGCAGTCATTCGAAACTATTTATGAGAAATTCCTAGTTAAATGTATCAATTACTTTTAAGTAATTGAGATTAAGATGTAATATTTTTCATCTTTATTCATTTTATATTTAAGTAGATTAGCGTTTTATTACTTTAAATTTTGAGAAAGATACTGTTTTAGTTATATTAATTTGAATTTGCAATGTGTATTATACAATGCTGCATACACAAGTAGATCTAACACAGTTTGTCTTTGATGTGATCTCATTAATATCTATACAATAACTTTAAATTTTTGAAATTTATACACTTAAAAACAATATAAACATTTGCGAAGAAATTTTGAATTAGTATCTGCAATTCAATTAACTATAAAAGTTCTAAATTAGTTGCGGGCTATTATTTTGATTTTCTCATTTCGGTTATAGTTTTGATAAATATTTTTAAAATATATTTCATGTAATATTTATTTTATTTGTGATATTACCAATAATTTATAGTTTACATGTTTAAAATACGTTAATCATCGATAAAGAGTGAGTTTTTCCTCAAAGCCACGCTATATGATTTTTCTGCGTTTTTTAGGAATGATCAATTGAAAATAAATAATAATGAATCTGATAAAATAAATTTTTAAATATATTATATCTGTTAGTTTTGTTTTACTATCTTGTCATATTATACGTATTATTTATTCATTAATTGGCAAAGTTGTTACATTATTTTAAACGGTAAACATTACAATTAAATATGGAATAGAATATGTGACAAATGCCCTACGACTCTCATATTCTTTTGACAATTTTCAATTACATTTTTACACAACTGCCACTCAATTTCGCCGATAACTTTTCAAATTTCTGCTTTCACTTTAGGAATTGTTCTTATTTTAGTGGCATTTCTATATAATTCTTACCATTATTTAAATATTATAATGTGATATGAAATGTCAGATTGTCATTCAACAACAGTTTGGACTTTATTCTTCTGCTAAAATTCAACTTTATATTCATATGCAGAGCCGTAACTAGGCAGGTGCAACAGGTGCATTCGCACAGGGCCCACTTGGAAAGGGGGCCCAAAATGCTGTTCACAAGAAATTATAGTTTTAAATCTTAAATTTTTTCTCCTTTTTATTGGCGATTACATTTTGCCTTATTTAGACCCTAGATGTCTGCTCACCAGTGTTCCCAACCGTGGCGACTTTTAGAGGGACGTAGGGAGATAGCGGAGACCGCAGACAAATCAGCAAAACTTTTTAAATTTTGTTTATTTATTTTTTGAGAAATTTAAATTTATGTTTATAGTTTTCAAATTTATAGATTTTTCTCTACTTTATAAAGCTCTCTGGCGACGACTAATATTATTACGATATACAAAACTGTATTTCTAGATTTTTTTAGTGTGCAGAGCTAGAAATCTATAAAAGTAACATTTTGTAAGAAAAATAAATCTGCCCGGGGATTTTTTTAATTGCTAAATTGCTAAATAGAAAACGTGATAACTCTCGAATAAAATGTTAGTCTCGAGGTTGTAAAAGGCGTGCAGAAATTCTGACATAACTTTTTGCTTTATAGTGGTACGCATATGTGTTGTATACCTCAACGGCGGTAAGCGAACTATGCGGCCGAGTAGGGCCTCGAAGGAGCCCCCGAAATCTTTAAAATGCTATTGAAAAAAGGCTGATTTTTGCTTTCTCTATGGCTCGTCTTTACAATACATGAGTGTTGCTGATTTAAAAAAAAAATCGGCTGCAGATCTCACTATTAAATATAGCAAAGATTTAAAAAAGTACAAATTCACAAGTGAAATTGAAAATTTTAATTTTGAAGTAACGACTCTTATACAAAATATAGAAACTGCATCTCCGCTTAATATTCTACAGGCTCTTCATGATTTTGGTTTAATTGAGTCTTACCCAAATATCAATGTCGCTCTTCGAATATTTCTAACTCTTCCCGTTTCTATTGCTTCGTGCGAGAGAAGTTTTAGCCAGTTAAAATTAATAAAAAATTTATTAAGATTAACTATCGGGCAAGAACGATTGTCCAATATTTCTATTATTTCAATAGAATACATTATCATTAAAAATATTAATTATGATCATGTAGTTAATGAATTTGCTGAAATGAAAGCCAGAAAAGTTCAATTAAAATAAATCTTATTAAAAATCTATTGTAATATATTTATTTTATTATTTTCCCAAACCAAATAAATTAAGGGGCCTAAATGCAAATTCTTGCACAGGGCACAGGAATGGCTAGTTACGGCTCTGTTCATATGAAATGTTTATGACTTTTAAATCTCTGTTCTATGTAGGCCTGTATATATGTAGAGTATGTATACACGATGTGTATATACTGTATGTATAAGGCACGGCTTGCAAGTTACATGTGGCTCTAAGAACGTTAGAGGTCATTCACAAATTTTGAGTGAAAAATATAGATAACATTATTACAGTATATCAAGAGATGCGTTGTAAAGGGTTCTCGGGGGTTTGCACGAATCTGTATTTCAAATTTTTAGGACACCAGCGAACTTTTAATTAGGAAACTAAATATTAATTTTTATATAATAAATTTCATTGTGCTACAAAAAAGAAAAATATCCCCAAGATTTGTGATTTTATCAAATCATTTTTTGTCAACTATTAGACTCTTCGTATGGGATCTGTTCTGGAGGAACATGGGAAAAAATGATGAGACCCTTCGTATGCATTCCAATCTTAATTTTGTTTTTAACCCACTTCACTTTCTCTTTACATTTTCATAATTTTTACTGCAGTGCATCAGTAATAAGCCATTTTATTAAACTCAATTTTTACAAGTTAGAACATCTAATGGAAGTTGGCACAGCAAATTACTGATTATATTCTTCTAAATATAGTATTAGAAAGGATAAACCATGTTACTTCTAAATGTATGCAGTAAATAAACTTACTTGTTAGCTTAATATGATTAACAATAACCAAGATGTAGTAATATCATAGTACCATTAATATTACAGTGTACTGTAATAACACCATGACTAATAAATCTTGACTACAGTATTCTGTTATCTTACATTAGATTATTGGGTCTTACATGTGCTGACTCCTCAAGTATGGCTCTTGAAGTAGAAATATATAATTATTTAATAAGAGACAAGATAATACATATTTTTCGAATTCGTAAATACAGACTTATAAAGCACGTCCTCATAAAGATGCAGATTTTATAGCGTAAATTCTACAATCCTATTTTCAGAATTTTAACTTAGAATAAAGCTATGTTGTATTAGTTATAATACAATGTTAACCTTGCAGGTGCACTAACATGTTACAAACCACGCTTTCATTATATTATATTATCAAATAAAGCACTGATAATATAAGATATATTGTTTTATTTCAGTGCCATTCTCTACCCATTACTAAATACGTTCTCGATCTTTGTCGCTGTAGTCTCTGAATCTATCTGAAGCTTTTAACAACAAACTCTTATCACAATAAAAGATCGATTTAGAAACAGATTAAAGCTTACAAAAGAGATAAGATCGTAGATTAAAACTTTTCCCTTACTAATCTAACAGATGTTTTGATGATAATCTCAATAAGGCGCATTGTGCAAAATTACTTTTACAAGAATACAAACAATTCTTTATTCGACTTATCTAAAAAGAAAATGGGTCATTGCCTCGCACTTTAACAGTCAAGAGTTATAAAAAAAAAAACAAAAAAAAATATTCCTTGTTACGGTCAAGTTCAATGGATAAATGGCAAAGTTTTCACAATAGTAAAGTTTTTGTTCTAATTCAAACTTCCTATGGAAAATAGAAAAAGTTTATATTTCTAGCATACAAACTTTTCTATCGTGATTATTTTTTATAAGGAAAATTCTAACTTCTATACGGCCTCAAATTTAAAAATTATTTGCTTTTTCTATGAAAATTTAAATTAATTTTGATATAGAAATTTTTTCTATAGTTTCTGAATTAAAATTTTTATAAATATTTATTTTAATTTGGTTTTAAAAAAATGTAAAAGCTGCTGCAAACTCGTAAACTTTATTATCTTTACAACTTTAGAAAAACTAGAACTTGTGAAGAAAAATATCTTTTTGTTTCTTATCTTCAAAATTTTATTGCATTTTAAATTATTTATTTTATGTTTTTAATAATTTTAAAATTCACACAGTGAGACTTATAAGAATACGAAATATTAAAAGTTTTTATAACGTTGACCTTATAAGTTATATTACGTTTGCCATAAGAATATTTAAAACAAAGCTTTAAGTACTTCAGAACTTTATTCATTTAGTTTTTTCTTTGAAATTTTATGTTTAAATATTTAAGCTCTTAAAGAAAAGCTCATAAATTACAATTTTATGATAAATCATAAAAAATTGTAATTTGTTAAAGGGCGATTTGTTAAAAAAAATAAGTTTTATTGAATTAAATTATTTTTATGACTTCGGATCATGTCTTACGAGTGTAATTGTTTTAAGCAGCGGTCATAATTTTTTTTCAGGAATCATCCAAATATACTGCGATTGAAATAATGAATTTAAAGTTCAATACAAAAACTTTTTTACTACCATTAAACTGTGTCAAAATGACGACTTTTCAACAGACAAAGTCTTCTTCTATACTTTAACAGTTGACTTTTCGAAAAATAAAACTTTCAGATGGAATAGGAGAATATTTTGTAGAATGGTTCCTAGATTTTAGCGTTATGAGAATAATTTCTAATTAAATTTAACAAAACGCAAAGGTAGTTATTCTGTGTAAAAGCAATTTCTATCAGACCAATAACATTTAGAACAAGGAAACAAGTATATAAAGTAGAACATGTAAATAAAAAACACACATATATATATATATATATATATATTCATATAATTATATCCTTCCTAGAATGAAATTATAAATTATTTCTCACACGTACGTTATTATTATTTT